GAATTCAATGAATAGTAAGCTCATTAATAACGAGTTTGTCAATCATGTGATTTAACAGTCACCATATTGAAATATGAGAGGAAAATGTTATGATCTTTTCAACAGAAAAAGGAAAATCATTCACAAAATTCAGCACTCATTTGGATTACAAAAAATTTTAGTAATAGATCTTTCTTAATTTCTAAAATTCTGCAGCAAATGTTGTTGAATCAAAGCGTTCTTTTTGTTTATTTGTTTTCTAGGCTAATACTGGGTCTTAAAGTCAGTGTCTTTAGCTCTCACTTGACTCTTCATTTGAGAGTTACATTCTAGCCAGGTACTGGTGGCTCACTCCTATCTATAATCCTAGCTACCTAGAAGGCTGAGATCTGAGGATCACGGTTAAAACCAGCCCAGGCAGGAAAGTCCATGAGACTCTTATCTCCAATAAACCACTAGAAAACTGGAAGTGGCACAAGCGGTAGAGCACTTGCCTTGAGCTGAAGAACACAAGGACAGTGCCCAATCCCAGAGTTCAGGCCTCACACCAACAACAACAACAAAAAAAAGAGTTACATTCTACCACTTGAACCACACCTCCAGTTCCTGCTTTTTTTCTGATCAGAGTCTCCCATACTCTTCTGTCTGGGCTGCTTAGAACCTTGATCCTCAGATTTTAGCAGCTAAGAATATTGATAGATCTCCCAGCTCCCAGCTAGAAACATTCTTAAAAAAAAAAAAGAATTACCAAGTAGTTGTGTAAAGAGATTGCAATTCTATAAGTCAGGTTATGAGTACAATGCATCTTGGTCAATGTTACACATACATCATTCCCCCCATTTTCCCCCTCCCATCCCTTCTCTCATGTTACATGGTTCAATTTTGATATAATGTGCATTGGCTATAATGACTGCATTTGCTTGCTCTTCCTCCTGCCATTAGTGTGTCTTCCCCTTGTTTTCCTCCCCCACCCTCAAAAAAAAAACATGTTCTGCTTTCTGCTATTTATTATGTTAAACAGTTCATTAGTTATTCAGAGGAGTTACACCATAGGGACTCCTCCTTTAGTCAATTTGTGTGTATATGTATAAAACTTTATATATGTTATCATGTATGTTTATATTCTTGTGCTGGTCCTAGGGCTTAAACTCAGGCCCTGGGTGCTGTCCCTGAGCTATTTATTCAAGGCTAGCACTCTACTAGTTGAGCCACAGCGCCACTCCAGCTTTTTGTTGGTTAAAGGAAGGTAAGGGGCTCAAGGTCTTTCCTGCTAGAACTAGCTTCAAACCACAATCCCCAGATCTGAGCCTGTGGAGGAGCCACCAGTACCTGGCAAGTTTCTTAGTTCATGACTTTAAGGAGAAGATTGTTCATTTGTTCTGTTATTTGTCCTGAATAAACGCTATGTGCCACCACATGCCAGTTACCTTGAAATAAGCAGAACTAATGTACTTGGTAGCAGCTCAAATTTGAGCATGGAGAATCATTGAAGACTTTCAGTTGGGAGTGACATAATTCACTTTGCATTTTTGAGATACAAAAGTGGGTCAAAATGAATGACTACTAATTGCAGGTTGTTTTGTGTTGACTTTAGATTATTTAGCCATAGCAATGGGACTGTTTATATTTTATGTAGGAAGAGGTCCAGGAGCAAATGAAGAAGCAGATGACAGTGGACCAGGCAGAGTGTAGAGAGGAAGGGTCAGGTAACTGGGCTGTCCTATTCACCATAGTGCCATAGGTCACTTCCTTTCAACTATACTATCCTAGCCACAACTTTGCCTCAAATGGGCTCTCAGTACAACAGAAGTAGCCACAGGATCAGTGGGAATCTGCACAAAGCCTTCTTAAGGATCCCTAATAATCCACCCAGCCATGGATTGTCTTTATATATTTACACAAGGCAAATATAATTTAATATTTTTTGTTGTTTCAGTTGTTAACCTCAAGTGTAACTAGATAAAATTTCACCATGTATACTCAAGTCAGGAATCACCATTCAGCTGAGTTTTAAAGGTGAACAGAAAATTAATCCTTATGGAACTATAGACCTCAATGCTGGAAGAAATGACAAAGGAGTAACAGCAATGAGAAAGCTTACTGAAAGCTTATTCTGGGCCGAGTTATGTCGAGCATTTTGTGTGCATTGTTTTATGTAGTCCCCCCCCACAACCAATGAATGAGGAAGTCCTGTCAACACCCCATTTCGTACCGAGACATGAGGTTACTCCAGTGCCACAGATTTGTAAGTGGCAGGATCTGCCCACAGGTCTGAAGCCCACACCTTCTTAACTTTTCTGTGAGTAGGCAGTCCATTCAGACTTCATAGGGACCCACAGGAAATTCAATATTAACAAGGAGCTGATGGAATCATAGAGAACTATCTCCATGCATTGTAGGAATGGAGAGAAAGCTCCCTGAGCACCCAGTGCTTTGAAAGGCTGATTCCAGGTCATGATCTCCAAAACTGACTTTGACTACCACAGAAAGGAAAGCTCAGCAAAGCAATTGTGGCTCACGCCTATAATCCCAGCTACTTGGGAAACTGAAATCTGAAGGATTATACAATTTGAGGCCAGCCTGGGCAGAAAGGTTCATGAGACCTTCAAGATAATCAGCACAAAAGCCAAGCTGGAGGTGTGTCTCAAGTAGTAGAGTGCCAGCTGAGCAAGTTGGAAGCCTGAGTTCCAGTCCCAATATTGACAAGAGGGAAAAAATAAAGGAAGGCTCTAAAAGTTGAACTGCAGCCAATAAAAGCCTAGAGTTATTCCACTGAGAACAGAAAACTAAATGAAGTGATGCAGGTCAATTTGTGCTGGCTGCGTATTTGTCAGTTGAAATCAGGGTGGCTCCCAGGAACTCTCTAGTGGACCAGCATTTCAGAGACACAGGACATGGAAAGGGCAAGGCATCAGGATGAAAGCCTGGCCATTCCTGGCAGGTATAATTTAGCAAACAGGCTGAATTTGAAAAACAACCACCAAAAAATACTCCAACGACAGCAAAATTTTACTTTAAGGCTGTTTCTTTTGGATTGGGAACAAGGAGAAGATAGGCCCAGCTTGTAGCAGATGGCCTAACATTAGGCAATGAGGAAAGGCAGAATTGTCAGCTCTCAGCTTTTCTGTTTTCTCTGTCACACAAACGATCCTTAATCTAGAAACATTAAACAAACATCTAGAAGAAGAGATTGAATCTGAATAGATGATCAAAGGAGAGAGCTGTGAACTCAGGTTTCCAAGCTCAGGTGAAAAACAGGCTATAGAAAAGCATCTTGAATGCGGCATTGTACTATCAGACTTTGTGGGATAAACCAAATGAAGTCCCTGCTGTTGAAATAACTTACAGGCCCAACCATGGTGTTTGAAAACTGGTCGAGAATTCCAAAATGGTGAGAGATAAGTATTTTACACTTTTTGTATGACAAAGAGACATGAATTCTGATCCTTGTCAAAACTCTAGAACAGAATATGAAAGAAATGGTAAGCTAGTTGTGGTGGCGCAATGTTAGATTATTTGGACTTTGCCAGAAAACCACACAGGCATCCAGGAACAGAGAATGAAGAAAGGTTTATTGCTGAGAAAGGGGCCAGCAAGACCCCTTCTCACAAGGGAGAAGTGAGAAGAAGCACCAGCTATTGTCTGAAGTGACCTATATAACCTAGGAGGTTTAGGAGGGGCTAGAACAGGGTAGGAGGCGGAGACGTGTGGGCCAGGGGCTTCATCATGGTGGACTAGGATTTATGTCTGCTGTCCAATAGTAGATAAGGAGTTCTGCAACTTCCCAGACCTGAAGGTCACTCTAAGGGACTCTTGTTGCCCTTAGACGGTGGTAGCTGGCCCAGAGAAGTGCCACCCCAAGGTAACGGGTGTTGGAAGCTGATTATTTACTGCTCTTACTAAATGGACCTAGTGTTACCTAAGAAGGGAGCATGCTAAGCTGTGGAGAGGGGAAGGAGTGCACTAAGCTATGGGAAGGGAGCTCATTTCACTAACACTCAAGCTTTAATCCTAGATACTTGGAGGTAGAAAGCTAGAGATTGTAGTTTAAAGCCAGCCCAAGCCAAACGTTTACAAGACTCCATCTCAACCAACTGCTGGGTGTGGTGTGTATGACTGTCATCCCAATGATGTGGGGGAAAGCACAAATAGGAGGAACACAGTCCAGGCCCACCTGGATATAAATTAAGACCTGCTCTCAAAACTAACCAACATTTAAAAGGGGCTGATGGAGTGGTCCAAGTGGTAAAGAACCTGCTTAGCAAATGTGAGGACCTTGGTACTATAAAACAGAAATTAAAAGAGAAAAAAGTAATGGCAAAGCTTTAGAAAGAGGTTTAGAGGGATTACTAAGAAGCTGTGAAAAAACAAATGTCATTTCCTTTTCGAGGTGGGGTTTCAAAGTTTGTAATGCCAGTACATAGGGCAGTACTAACGTATCATTCATTCATTTAATAAATGTCATACATAATCTAAACTGTAAGAATATAGGGATATGACTCGCTTTGTGAGACTCAAACCTAATGGTTTTTCTTTTCCTTTTGGCTTTTCTTTGGGAAAAACAAACAAACAAATAAAATGCCAGTCACCATGCTGGAATCAAGTGTGGTATGAACATTTCTGCCCCATGAAGAACTATTCAGCAAGGGCTCCCTGATTGGAGGGGAAGGAGACTGACCCAGCACCTAGGGCTTCTTTGGTGGTCCGTGTGATACATAAACCTACCCAAGTTTTATGGAGAACCAACAAGCAGGCAGGAAAAGTGTGCTTTATAGTAGGACAAGATTACAGGCATCTGGAGTTAAAGAAGTCACGTGATATCTGCCCAGGAGGACCTCCCCCCCCCCAGAACACGCACAGGTGGATTTCATTTGTCTTGTTCATGACCTTAAGGCATCAATAGGATACCAGGAGCAGCTACCTGCCGAGCCCTTCTTGCCACAAACATGGCCTGCTAAAGTGGTCTGATCATGGGGAGAGAAATGCCAATCTAACCTATTTGCCATTGATTTCTTAAGCAGATTCAGGCACACAGGATGAAGCCCAGCTTTTGCAGGAATGGTTTAAACTGGTTCTGGAGAAGAATAAATTAACGCGATATGAGTCGGAACTACTGATCATGTAAGTAAGGCAACACAGATAACAGTGAGTCCTAACAGCAAAGGGGTGGGAAGGGGGGCACCGTTCACTGCTGAAGTCCTGGGATTTTTTTCCTCTTTGTGCATACAGAATAGTGATTGAGGCAAATTGGTGTTTTATGTCTTGCATATCATGTTGGCATTAGCACGGAGAATCTTTGTCTGTTCTCTCTGTGGAGTCCTGTAGCTGAAATAGATTTCAGGTAATGGGTCAGGAGATGGAGATCATTCAGTCAGACTCTGGCCCCAGGCTCACATTGAAGAGCACTCACACCTGCAGCAGGGATGGTTGTGTCTGGCTTCTGAGAGTAAAGTATGGGAGGGGCTCTGTGACATGGCGGGCCACTTCCTGGTGGCAACAAGGCTGAGATCTACTTGGTAATACCAGCCATCATTGCTTTCTTTTTTTTTTTTTCTTGCTTTTTCTGTTGTGGGGCTTGAACTGGGTGCTGTCCCTGAGCTTTTGTACTCAAGGCTAGTGCTCTACCACTCTAAGCCACAGCTCCACTTCCAGTTTTCTGGTGTTAATTGGAGATAGGAGTTTCACAGACTTTCCTGCCCTGGCTGGCTTCTAACCATGATCCTCAGATCTCAACCTCCTAAGTAGTTAGGATTACAGGTGTGAGCCACTGGCACTTGACTACAAGCTGTCATTTCTACTGCCTTATTTTATAACCACCCTGACCCTCAGAGGGTATTTGGAGAGCTTGGGGTGGGAGGTGGGGAAAGGAGAGCAGGTGATAGTAAATGCTACCACTCTTCCCTGCTGAGTTCTGAACCAAGAAATAATGGTTTTCTTGTTGACCACATCCAACTTGAATGTGGTTAGAAGAGATTCTTGAAATCATATTGCACCTAAAAGAGAGAAGAGCTCGTCACTGTTTCTCCCCTAGACCACTCTAGAGATTTTTCTGTTGTTCTACCTCCATCTCCCCATAAAGGATGGTCAGGTTGTCTTTCCCAGAGCCCACTGAGCCTACATTACCATCTTCAGCTGCCCTCTAGGTACCTTCTTGGACTCCCAACCACAGCAAGTTTTCCATGTAGAGATGTTCTAAACCTAAGAAGGATTGGGATTGGGGGGGAGGGGGGAGGCTGGGAAGGGATGTGAAGGGTAAACCAAAGGAGGAGGCTGTAATGCTTGGTAAGAAATGTGCGCATTATCCTGCCCATGTAATTGTAACCCCTCTGTACAGTATGTTCACAAATAAAATTAAATTAAATTTAAAAAAAAGAAGGAAAGAATGTAGTATCTTACTATTAAGGGTGTCTTCATTAATATTCTACCACATTCCTCAGATTTACATTTTAACATTTTCTCCTAACCCAGGGCCCAAGAACTAGAATTAGAAGATCATCAAAGCAGACTGGAACAGAAATTAAGAGAAAAGATGCTCAAGGAGGGTGAGTAAGATAATATGTTTGGGGCCTTTGTTAAAGACATTTTTTCCCTCTGGGATGCTTGAACCAAGAATGCTACAAATTCCAGTGGGGAGTTCTCCTCCTCCTTTGCATGGAAGACCAGCCTAAGAGCCAGAGGAAAGTTCAAAGCCAGCCTGCCTTTTGCCCACCCAACAAGCACAGCAAGTGCATAGTCACATTTATTCACTTAGACTGTGAGGGCATCATTTTTCCCATATCATGTGCTCATAAGAACCAAACCATTCATTTATTCATTTGTATAGAGACAGGATCTTGCTAGGTAGACCAGGATAACCTAAGGATTCTTGATTTTTCTGCCTCAGCCTTCCAAGTGCTGGGATTACAGGCATGTGCACTAATCCTGGCCAAAACAAAGTCACTCATTGCTTCATTTAGCCAGCCATTCACTTAGAAAACATCTATAGAGAGCCTGGTGTGGGCCAGGCACCTGGTGAAGGCAGCCCACAGGGCGTTTGTGATCTCACTGAGGAGAACAGCCAAAGCAGTATCCACAGTACACAGAGGGCCATAAAAGGCACTTTGGCAGCACAGAGGAAGGCAGGCCAGGTTCTGTAAGCCACTAGAGATGGTAAAGAGGAAATTCTCTGTTAGTACAGGCTGGGCCTGGGCATTGCACATGAGAAAAGCAGGGCAGGACTCTGTCTTGTGTTTGTGAGCCAGATCCATGGATTAGACAGGTCTAAAAGAACTAGTTAATATCTATCTCACAAAACTAACATTGCATCCACCTCCGTGAGTTTCCTGGCATAGGGCAAGCACTTGGTAAGTGTGAGACAGCATTGTTTTAACTATTTTATCTCCATTATGCAGATTAGAAAACTGACTCTCAGGGAACTTAACAAACATTTCTAATGTAAATGGTGGGTCTTAAATTTAGGAACATGCCACAAACCCAGGGGCTCTTGCTTTTTCCCACATAGAAGTAATTTGCAGACTATCAATAACAACAGAATTCTATTTTTCTATTTCTAACAAAGGAAGTGGCAGTGTGGCTCAAGTGGTGGAGTACCAGTTTTGAGTAAAAAACAAAGCCAATCAAGAACATGAAGCCCTGAGTCCAAGTCCTAGCTTAAAAAGAAAAAGGGTTAACAAAACACTAAAACTAACCTTGCAGAGCTGCACTGTGTAAAACTTGTGCAAGTGATTTACAGGTTAGATTGTAATTCAGTGCTACAATGCCAAGCCATGGGTTTGATCACCAGATAGCAAGAAAAAGAAATGGTTTCTCTTACATGGGTTCATCTATGACAAACAAGCTTACCCTAAAAGGAGAATTTTTAAATTGTTCTATGTTGTTCATCCAATTTGGAATACCAATACTGGAATATACCCCAATAAGCCATAGTGGATAATATGATTTAGACATCTGACAAAACACTGAAATGTTATATTTCAGGATAGTAAAATCAACATGACAAAAATTATTAGTCACCTATGATTTTTTTTCAATCCTAAGAAGTGAAAGTCAAACATTTCCTCTTTCTTCTCATAGGCACTGAAAAAATAAATTAATTAATTAAAACTAGTAGCTTCTTTACTTTTTTTTACAGTTAAACTTATCTTCCACACAAGCTTTTTCCCAGGGGCTTTCAAGGAGAAAATAGGAACTGTTTATCCCCCTCCAGGAAACTTGATCTGATGCAATAATTTAAACAACGCTTGTGGGAAATGCACGGTCTCTCAGGGATAAAAATGGTCAATCTTGAAGGTGGTGTTCAGTGTTTTTCCCTAGGGCGACTGCCAAGCAAGGGTAGAAGGGAAGTTTGGGTCCTGGTGACATAAAGGCTCTCTAACTCAGCTGTGTCCCATCCTCAGCTTGCCAGTCTCATGCTGGCAGTTTAAGGAAGCTAGGTGGCTGATGTCATGTAAAGCCTGGCCATGCTCTTGGAATTCTTGCTGGCATTCCTGTCTTACCAGGCCTTGCTTCTACACTTCCGCCATTCAGTTGTGGCCAGAAAATCCACCCACTGTCTTTATAGGGCCACTTTGCTCCTTCATGGGAACCTCCTGGCAAGTTTAACTGATTAGCTACCTATGGCAACTTTAGGATATGTGTTGCTATTACACTAGAGCCTCACACACTGCAAAGTATGTGAGTACTGCCCTATATGTCCACATGGGGGCACCCTTCCAGCTGGCTTCTTCCCAGAGGGGAATCATGCACTGGGCAAGAATCCACCAAATGATGTAAGACATTTCCTGCTTGCTCTGGGGCTTCCAAGGCCCAGAACATGGGGTGTTAGCCCTTGCCTCTCCTGCCTCTCTCCCCTCCCTCCCACAAAGCAGGATGCTCCAGGAGAATGGCCCTTTTCACATCTATTTACTTCCTGACCCAGATCCAGCAACTGGGTCAATGCATCGGGAGACAGTACCACCTTCTCTCCTCTGCAATGGGGCTCTTGCCAGCCCCTCTGAGCATAAATAGGAGTGGCCAAAAGAACTTAGGTTTCTTCATGGCAAAGATCTGGTTGGCAAATCTGAAATCTGTTTTTACAATCTGCTGTTGATCTGGGGATGTGGCTGAGTAGGAAAGCCTTTGACTAGCCTGGGTGAAGCCCTGGGTTCCATCCCCAGGAGGCTGCAGACAGTCCACACCACCTGCTTCTTCCTGTCTCCCTTCATTCTATTACAGTCCTATTCCTCTCATCTTCCCTCCCCTCCCCACCCCCACCCCCAGGTAATTGGATGTCTCAGAGCAATTAGGAATGTGGCTGAGCTCTCAAAAAGGCTAGAGGGGAAAGCAGAGTCCTCTAGAAGCTGTGGACAGTCAGGGACAATCACAGACATCAATCAAGGGACATCACCTTGTTTCCATATGGTCTCCACTCAAAAGGCTGCAATTTAGCTGGGCAGGGTGGGCACATCTGTTAGCCCAGCACTCTACAGGCCTGAGTTCAATGAGTTCAGTGCCAGTCTTCAGTGTACAGCTACGTAGTAAAACCCTGTCTCAAAATAAAAACCAAGGACTGAGGATAGAGCTGAGTGGTAGAATGTTTGTTTAGCCTATGGGAGATTCTGGGTTCAGTTTCCAGACACACACACACACACACACACACACACGCACACGCACACGCACACGCACACACACAAAACCATAACTCTGTCATTAAATGCAAATAACAAAAACATTCTTGTCATTGAAATAGTAGCCACTGATGTTACTTACAAAGTTTTCTCACAGACCTCTTTGCTGAGGCTCAGATGTGTTTATGGAAAGCAGCCTTTGCCTTGGTTTCTTGTTTTCTTTCTAGGGCAGAAAGGGAGGTTGGGGGACTTGGTAGGTTGTACCTGTATTAACTTCTTTTTCTCACAAATGATTTTCCCCTGACACAGATATATATTCTCAAGGTAAAAACAGAGCTGACCATGGCACAAAGTACCTACCTCCTAATCTGTGGCTTTAAAGGTAGATCCTTGGTGTCAAATTTATTTCCTGGTTTTTCCCTTTGAGATCACAGGGCAGAATAAGTCCTTAACAATGGAGAAGGCTTGGGCCAAGAGCTCCGTGGGGGCCCTGTCTTACCTGAGTCTGATATTTTTCTTCTTCTTCTTTTTTCTTTAGAGAGCCAGAAAGATGAGAAAGATAAAAATGAGGAGCAAGAAATATTCAACAAGATGATGCAAGTGATTGAGCAAAGAGACAGACTTGTGGATTCCTTAGAGGAGCAGCGCATCAAGGAAAAGGCTGAGGACCAGCACTTTGAAAGCTTTATCTTCTCCAGGGGCTGTCTGCTGAGCAGGACGTGAAGTGGCCCTGCCACTCCCTGGAGTGAGCTCAGAACACATCCTCTCACCCTGGAATAGAAAGCTTGCTCTTATTTTATTTTTGTACTGGTAATGGGGCTTGAACTCAAGGTCAGGGGACTCTGTCTTAGCTTTTTTTTTTTTTCCTCAAGACTAGCACAACTCATTGAGCCACACCAGCTTTCTGGTGGTTAATTGAAGGTAAGAGTCTTACAGACTTCCTTGCCTGGGCTGACTTTGAACCGTAATCCTCAGATCTCAACCTCCCAAGTAGCTAGGATTATAGGCATTCACTAACAGCAGCACCCAACTGGAACAGATGCTGTTTTAGATGCAGATTCCTTTCTATGTACCATAGTGTCTCAAAATTTTTTTCCAGAGACTACTGAAATTAGCTGTCTATGTCAGCCTGGGTCTTAGATTGGAGGCTGGCCTAGTTTTAAAACCCTGGGAAGTTACATCAAAACGTAACCGCTGCTCTTTTCCTCCTTTCTTACTCATTGAATTGCATGTTTTAGAACTGTGAAGAATCTGCCTTTTCATGAATGCATCCATATTTGCCTTTTTTGCTTGGATGACTGCTTTCTAAATGTCAAAAAGAGGCAGCAATGGCTTAAAGATTAGGTTAATATTTAAATTGTGTTTCCAGAGAAAGAAGAGAAACCTTAAGATTACTGATTACATAAAGCAAACAACTCATATAGCAGGTGTTAATTCAATCCGGGGTGAATTTAATTTACCAGGTGTATTTATAAGCCTTAATGTAATATACATAAGCAATGAGTGTAATAGAACATTTGAGCCCTAATTTTTATTCTTAACAAAAAGTACAAGGAAAAAAGGAAAATAAAACTTTAACATCACACTGTCAGGATTGCTGATTTTTAACAAATCCTGTTGGCTTAGAAGGCCTTTAGTTTACACACACACACACACACACACACACACACACACACATGCTCTGACCACAACCCCTGGAACATAACGATAAATGCTTTCAGAAAATGAATGATTTATTTATTTTTTAAAGCTGGGTGATACTGGAGTTTGACCTCAAGTCTCATGCTTGCTAGGAAGGTGGACAGGTGCTCTACTGCTGGGCCATGCCTCCAGCTGAAAATGAATTTTTGAATAAGTGTTGGTGATAGCAAAAGGAAATTTTCCTTGGTGGGTAAAACATTGATGAGGTTGGTACAGTACTGGTTCCAGGAGAAGCCTGCTTCACAGCAGTCATCTGTCATCTTAGCTCCAAGCAAAGAATTGTTTGGGATTGTCCACAGCGCCTACCAGACAAAGACAAAGCCATTTCTGACTTCCCAGTAAGGCTAAAGGCAGTGGTCCCCATTTCTTCAACCCCAAATAAGGACACAGATTTTTGTTTTGCATATTTTCCAATATGCAAAGAAAGCTAGTGGGTAGAGTTTGTACACTGATATGCTGGGTTATCTATTGGTATTGTGAATGTGACCCAGGTATGGGAACCAAAAGAAGACAAGATTTGAAATGGCAATGTGTAGGGATAAAATATTTGATTATTCTTTCTCAATGGGACTCTTTGATGATGAAGTATGTTATTGACAAGAGACTACAGTATTCTCTGTGGTATATATATCTCTGTGGTATATATCTGACCACTCATTTCTGTAAGTGTTTAAATGTATCAGTAGACAAAGATGCTTTGAAACAGTTGGCTCTGACTTGAGACCAAAATTTTTCTCAACCGATGTTAAGCCACTATCACATCTTTCTGAGATGCTGCCTGGACGCCCCAGCTTGGCTAGCTAACAAGCCTGAAGAAGGATGTACATGGACAAGTCAGCCAACATTTTGAGTGGTATTTAAATACAAACTATCCTTGATGACCCCTTCTTCCCTCCTTTTCCTTCCTTCCTTCCCTCCCTTCCTCCCCCCCCCCTTTTCTCTCTCTCTTTCATTCTTTTTTGGATCAGATACTCTAAACTCTTGAGTTCTGTTATGGAATATATAGTGGCATTTCCTTATCTAGCTAGGTACCTCTGAATCTGCTACCACGTCTGGCTATTTATCTACTTTTATTTATTTGTGTAATTACTGAGCGATGTGATTTTCTCATAATTCTGGTTTTCTTGTGCTGTAATTTGGAGAAAACCTTTTCACACGGATTATATTGGCATATAAGCTACTTAATATGTAACTTAGGCATTTGGGGCATTGGGATGTACAGTATTAAAGATGCATAGACATTCAGCCACCAGACACTTAAAAGGAAGAATGTAGATGCATGGGAATGTTAATTCATTTCACAAAGGAGGTGGATAACAGCACTTTTCACAACTGAGGAAATATACAAGCCTAGTCTTTTCTGCCTGTTAGATATAAAAGTGTCCTGTCAGATGTTTGCATATATTTAACCGAGGAGGTGCAAGTGTATAGTATCTGGCTTTTGTGTGTGCAAAAGAATTACTTGCTACTTTAAAAAAATTGTTCAATAAATTGTTCAATGTCCATGTAAAAGAAATATTCTCCCAAAGGTGAGGAATGGTGTGTTCTCCAGTTTAAGGCTTAGCCTTTTCTAGCCAATTTTAAGACACAAACCTCTTATGTATCAGGTTTTTTACTTAAGCTGGCTGTACATAAAAGCCATTTCAATGCTATTCCCAAGGTCAAAAATATCAGGATGGTTGAACTATTTAAAACAATTGTATTCCTCACTCACAATCCAGAAAGTTCTCAGACCCTCAAATTGTAAAATGTGGTATGTTTTGAAGACAGTTCTGTTGTATCCAATATGAGCAGGATTTTAATGGCACTGCCCCGTAGAAAGCTCTAGTAAAGATGGTTAAGGTGAAACCATTTAGGACTCTAAATGGTACATGAAGGTCCAGTCAGATGATATGTCACAAACAATATCTCTGGTTTCTGAATTAAGCCAAAAGGCTTATGAAAATTCTAAGCTCAATTTTTGACCTAAGTTGGTTTAAGAAGATAGCTCTCAAGCAATCTTAAGTTTTCCCCAACGAGTCATTTATTGATTTACTTAGTTAACATTCTCTGGATGCCCATGGAGTTCTTCCACCCCATGCTAGATGCCAGGATATAGAAAGAATAGTAATCTTCCAATCCACCTCCAAATAAAAGATAAAGACCAAAAAATAACTACCATCCACCACCACTACCACCCCTCAAAACACAAGACTAAAGAACTACTGATATGCCCCAACCTACCCTACTTACATTCACCTCAGGCATACATGACTTGTATCCCCTCTCTATTGTGCTGCTTTGGCTATGAGAACAAGTTCATGTTTCTAAAACTGTGAAAAAAAAAAAAGAATATCAGTGTGTACCGTTCCATTTAGACCTTGACTTTGGCTGCTTGAGAAGCAATCAATGCCGAGATGCAGTATGTTAATTGTAACTGAGAAAGGAAGTGGCAGGTGTTTCCAGCTCTGATGAGCTGCAATGAAATTGATGTTTTCTGCATTCAGGAGGCCAATGACAATTCAGTAATGTCTTTCTTCCCAGGAAGCAGTTTGTTCTTTCCAAACTGAAAATGGCAGCATGCCCCACCCAGGTGGCTGATCGGAAAACTACCTCAGCAGGGCAGAGGTGGCAGGGGGCAGCTGGCGCCACCGCAGGAATAGAGAGAGTGGCAGTCGCTGGATGTGGGGAGCTCAAATGTAGGAGCTGATTGTTTCCAGAAGGTTCACACACGGGGGAAAGTGTACTATTTCACCTACTGTTTTATCTTCTAACCCCGCTGCTGAGAAGCTTGCAAAAGATTAATTTGCTCTGACAATTGGGAGCTATTCATGTGGATGGAAATGTGTTGTATGTGCACTGCTCTAAATACTGAAATGAACCAAAAATAAATGGTTTTGTGTCTCAGAAATCAAAACATTTTCATGTGCGCTCAGTCTGCTTCCCCCACCACCCCCAGGGTAGCATTGATTTCAGTTCTTTCTTCTCTCTGAAAGATCTGGACAAAACTTTGATTTCATGGGGGAGCTGCTGCATTATCGTGAGATGTTTATTCCTTGTAGGCACCCAGAAGGATTTACCTGACTCCTTTCTTGTTGGATTGGGCTGGCAGGAGGGGAGGTGGTAGCTCATCTCAGATTCTTTCTCTCAACAAAGAAATCTATTTTCAGGGCTGGGGAAGGGGCAGGCTGAACCTGTCCTGATCCAGCCTCTGTGTCGTCTCCCTGTCTTTCTTACCTGGGGAAAGCTGGTTTGGAATTCCACTCACTCACCAGAAACACAGAGATGGCCTCTTCCTTTAGCTCACATTTTTGAGAACCAAATATGTCCTTCTGTTCTAGTACAAGTGAAAATTATACACTATGAGATTTAATGCACCTGAATTACCACTTCATGTTAATCAAGAGGTCAGTCCCAGGGGTGCTTACATTCCACAATAAGTTCCTCTCCATTGTTTAAAAGCTTTTTGTCTGATCAACTACTTGAAAGGTTTGACTATTTCATGGAATATGAATGAAAAATGTCTACAATTGCTCCTGTTTTGCAAGGTCCTAAGAACAGTTGGCCATCCATCTTTGATGCATCTTTGCCAGTGTTCCTTGAGCCCTTGCTGTGGCTCATCTGCCCTTTTATTCCTCCTGACCTGTGGTTGTTCAGCCTCTCCATACTTGTTAGCTGTAGTTCTCCACTCCTGAGCCTTCAAGTCAGGCTAGGTGAGTTCATGTTCACTTCCTCTTCCTTCTGATTTCTAGAAGAAATTAAAAAACAAAAACAAAAACCAAGGAGGTGTGAGGTCCTGGGTTTGAGTCCCAGTACCACATATAAATAAGTAAATGAATGAAAAGCCAAACCAATGGCATCACAGATCTCCTTCAGAGCCCCTCAGAGATGAGTGTGGCAACAGCTACTACGAACTCAACTCTTCTTCCCTGCCAGAGGCTCTAATAAGCTCAGCACTGAAAGCGAAGTCTTCAAGGTAAGCATTATTCTCATTTTGAGAGAACAAGACTGAGGCACAAAGAGGCATAGTCATTCAAGGTTCCAAGTAGTGGCTAGACCCAGCTGTCAGCCTCCAGAGCTGGGGCCCTTGACCACCAGGGTACCAGGGTGCCCAGCTTGTTCTGCATGCC